TTTTTTGGGCTCATCAGCACAAATTCTGATTTAACTCTCAATTTCTTAGGAGAATTTAGTCCAAATGCGCGAGGTGGTACACCATTTACACCATTTCCATTAGAATATCCGGTAATTGATAGTGGACAAATGCTTGATCTTCTTATCAGTGATTATACATTTAATACATTACTTTATCATCTGCATAGGTTTGCTATTTTCTTTGAATTACTTCCATGCATATATGGCAATCGTCACTTATGATAATTGACTAATTGATAATGGTACAAAAAGTTGCAAGAACTTGATAATGGTACAAACTGATAATACAACTGATAATGGTTACAAAAACTTACCTACGATACAAAAAACCATACAATTAGCTTAATTTATGCACCGTAATCATATAAACTGATAATCGTATCTGTGATAGCAGATCAAGGTGATTAAAATTGTGAATTAGCATGATTACGGTGTGGAAATTAATATTAACAATTATGATTACGGTGTATGGATTAAGCTAACTGTATGCTTTTTTAATCGATAGTAAAACAAGTAATTTACCATTCTTTTCTTTTTTTCTGCTTATATGAACAAATTGTTACTTTTTTATTGGTAGCAAAGAAAAGTTAAACTTTTTAAAAGTTTAAAAAGGTTAGACTTTTAAGAAAAGTTAAAAAAAATTAAGATTTAAAATGTTTTCATTTAATAAAATACTAATTGAATAGTTCAAAAATTTATAGAACAATTTCGTGACTGAAAAAGAAAAAGGACGTAGATATAATATTTGAAATTAATGATTTGAAATTAAATAATAAAATGAAAGTTTTGTTTTTTTTTTTTAATAAACAAAAATAAAATGAAAACGGAATGATAGTGTAATTTTTTTAGGAAAAATATTTTTGCATTTCGAATTGGTCCCGAGATACCAGTTATTGGTGATTTATTAAATTTAACATGTACAGCAGAAGATATCGATTTTGATTTGAGTCTTGAATTACAGGATAATCAGGTATGTAAAAGTGTAAATAGAATTAATGGTTGTTTGCAAAAAAACAAGCCTCAAAATTAAATCAGTATTTTAAATTTAACTTGTTGTAAGTAGAAATTAAATAGATGAGCTATAAAATTAAGTACTTTTATTAATTAATTAATTATCAAATTAGAGAAAAAAAGAGAAACATTGATTGATAGTAAAAGAGTTATTAAATTAATACATGAAGTAATTTTGAAAAAAATTTTAAAAGTAAATTAAACGTAAATTAAAAGTAAATTAAAATTAAAAGTAAATTAAAATTAAAAAAAAAGTAAATTAAAATTAATCATCCATGAAGTATGTAAATTAAATAAATGAAAATATGAAATGTTAGCAATTTAATGATTGATTAATAAATCAAATATAAATTAATAATAAAATTGATCAATTTGCAATAAATTATTTCAAACATAACAGAAAATTTAAATTTAATAAGTAAAATAAAATTATGGAAAATTTAAAATTATTAATTAAAAGTAAAAAATAAATTGTAAAAAATTCATTGGAATATTTCTCCTAAAAATTAATTTAGGAATTTACAAATGATACGATTTTAAATCAGACAAATACGCGGAAATATAATAATCGTACAAAACGACATACAACAATGGATACATTGCTAAATTTTGGTATATGTCTAGGTGATATTGCACCGGAAATTCGTGAAAAAAATCCCGGGAAACGAGCATACATTATAATTCGTACAAATCGTGCACCATCAATACAATTTAAAGCTGCTAATAATGGTAAGCATTTGTTAAAAAAAAAATTTTTTTTTTTTTTTTTACAAAATTTAAATTTTCACTTCAAAAATTACAAAACAAAAAAAAAAGATTATTTTATAAAAACTTTTTTTTTTACAAAGTTTTTTCTTTTAAAAATTCTTTTATAAATTTTATAATATTTTATAAAAATTTTTTAAAAAAAAGTTTTATAATAGAAATAACAAATTTTTAAATTTTTAAACTTTTTTTTAAAATTTATTGCAAAAAAGCTATTTTTCAAAAATTATTTTAGGTACTATTATAATTGAATTTATAATTGATGGTCTTATTTACTTGGATGGTACCACAACAAAAGTTGGCCATATTCAAATTACAACTGTATCAGTAATAACAGTTCAATTTATCAATAAACGAATGATTGCTAAGGCGCAAATTGAACGCATGGACATTGTTGATGTTGACAAAACATTTGGTCTTCCTGAGGAAGCATTCATTAATCTTTCAAATTTAGCTCGAGGAATTCTTACTCGGGTAAGAATTTTGAGCAATATTTCAATAAATGAATAATTAAGTAATTTGTTTTTATGGGTAAATTTTCCAATGGGTAGCTTTTAGCAAGGGTAACTTTTTTTTCAATAAGTAATACTATTTCCGTAAATATTTCTTCTAATAGACGATTGTTTTAATTGGTTTTTTTTTTTCAAATGGATAACTAACTATTTTCAATGGTATTTCTTTCGATGTGTAACTAATTTTCACGGGTATTTTCCCCCAAAATGGGTAGCTTTTTACAAGAGTATTTCTTCCAAATGGTTAAGTATTTTTCAGAGGGTATTCGATTGTATTGGGTAACTAAGTCTCTTCATAGGCATTTTTTTTTAAAGAGTAAAAAAATCAAAATAGTTTTCTAAGTATAATATAAATTTTTCAAGTATTTAAGTATATTAAAAAATATTTCTTTCTAATTGATAACTATTTTCAAGGGTAATTTTTTCAATGAATAACTATTTTCAAGGGTATTTTGCTCCAATTAATATTTTTTTTGCATGGGTATTTTTTCTAATGGGTAACTGTTTTCAAGGGTATTTTGCCCCCCCCCTAATTAATAGCTTTTTGCAAGGATATTTTTCTCAATGATAAGTGAATATTTAAAAAGTTCTAAGAGTATTTGTTAATCAAAATTTTTTTTAAAACAATTATTATAACAAAAAATTTAATTTAATTTTTTTTTTTTGCTTTTTCAGATTAATTATTTATTTATTTTCTTTTGTTATTTTTCAGGCAATAAATAAAAAATTAGCAAATGGAATTCCAATGACAATGCCACAATTAGGCATACCAATTCAATTTTATAATCTTCATTTGCATATAATCGAGCATGCATTATTCATTTCCACCGATGCTAATATTCAATCATTAGCAAATCACTTACCGTATCAAGGATTTACTGGATGTCCATATTATAATCGAATATTATAACCTGAATCACAATAATAATAAAAAAAAGAAAAAAGTCGTTGTAATTAAATTTTAATTGAATTTAAAATTTTGAAATTATTTTAAAAGATAGATAAAATACCAAAAAAAAGACAAAAATTAAATGAACCAATTATTATGTTTTATTAATTATTTTAAAAAATTAATTTTTTATTAATTATTTTTTAAAAAAAATGCTTTAAAATTTTTCGTTTTTAAAATCTTTTATTAGTTCAATTAAAAAAGAGCAAATTTTTCCTTTTTTTGGTATTACATTTTCTTTTTTCCTTTTTTTTAAAATACTTTATTAATTCAATCAAAAAATCATAAATATTTTTGGATTTTTTATTTTTTATTATAAAATTTATCATTTAATTGAAGCGATTTGTTTTACTGAAAATTAAAATATGATAGTGCAAATTGAGTGATAAATGAATGTAAAATTGAATTTTCATTTAAATTTTGTTTTTTGCATAATTTGTTTCGACAATTTTTTGTAGAATTATTGCTATCAGCTAATTTAATTTTTTTTTTACCTCATCCAATAAAATACCTCCATTGTTTTGTTCAAATGCAAATTATATTTTTCGAAATTTCATTTTTCTCATAGATCTTTCTTTTTGCTTCTTCGAAATGCTTACTTTGATATATTAAAAGAAGAATTTACATTTCGTTAAATCGTCAAATCATTATTGCAAACTTTTGAAAATACTTTTATAAGTAATAAATTGAAATAAATAATGAATTAATAATCAACTTAAAAAATCAATAATCATTTTCAAAAACGCAAATAATTAATTGTGAAAAAAAAGTGAATTTAACAGATGCATTTATGAAATATCAATTTTATATTTTAAATCATCCATACGACAGTGTCATGTTACATTTCAAACGGATAAATCAACTCGAAATATTTTACACTTTATAAATTCATTATTATGAATTTCAATTCATTAAATTAATAATTTCAATTCATTAAATCAATAATTTCGAGTTAAACTTAAATTTAAATACACATGTACTATCGTTTAATTAATATCATATCAATTTGTATGGCTGGATCGATGATAACTTAATTCATCAATTCATTGCACGAATATACAATATTGATATTTGTATGTTTTCTTCGATGCTATTATCCATTATCATTTGATCAAACTCAACCTTCTTTATGATCTTTAATCTTTTGATAATTTTTGGTCTATTGATAATCTTTGATGATTATATCATGCATATCAATCCTATCGTTCCCGCTATTATTTCATCTACCCAAAATGGAAATTCATTAATTACAATGTTGATTTATGAACATCACCGAAATGAACTAAAATTTATTCAAATTCAAGAAATAAGTTGTTATTATTAAACAAATACCGGTACAAAATGTAGAATTTTATATTTTAGATGATCACGGAACATTTCAACATAAAAAAAACCGCAATCATTATCTTAATCGTTTTTCTTTTCTCGTCCTTTTTTTTTTTTTTTTGATATTAACAAATGAACTGATAACAATAAACGAATAATCATATTTAATGCTTTATCAATTATTCCGATATGATACGGAAAAATGCTATCCGTTTTATTGTCATCAAATATTCATTTCGTTAATAATTTCACTTTTTTTCTTTTAAAGAAAAAAAAAGAAAAAGTGATTGAGATGATGAATTTTTTTTTTTTTTACAGTCAGTATTTAATAAAGCACTAATTTTCAAATGAAGTAAAATGAGGAAAATACAAATGATCGCAATTTTTTCATCAAATAAAATTAATCAAAAGAAAGAGAACGAAAAAAAATGCTGAAGAAATTTTTTTTTAATTCGAATTAAAATTTCAAAATTAATTATTTGGATTTATTTAAATTCATTGATTTTCTTTTTCTTTACAAATAAAAAAAAAAAGGGGAAAAAAGTGAAGAAAAAGCCGCTTACATAATTGTATGTTTGCATAATTGAAAATTAAATTCCGGCAAGTATCACAGCCCAAAATTGATGATCAAAATTTACACGTAGCTAAAATGGACTAGAGAAAACTCACACGTGAAACACGTAAAACGTATTCGTAATTTACATATACTGCATGGAGTATATACAAGAAATGCTTAAGACTTAATTAAATTAACATTTCCTTTCTATCTTACATTATTTTAGTAACAATCTTAGAAAATTAACCAAAAAAGAAAAAATCTTAAATTACAAAAAAAAAAGGAAAAAAGGTAATAATAATAATTTACAGTAAGACTAGGAATTTTTCCTTAGTTTAATGATTGATCGTATGCATGTAGATTCTTCATGCTTTGATAAGTAACTTTTTAAAGCGAAACATTTCCCGCAACGTTGACAAACATATGGTTTGATACCTGTAATTAAAAATTGCATAATGTGATGCTCTGATATGGTGACAATTAGTGACAAATAATATCATATGTATATTTCCAAATATTATGTTACAACTAAAATTAGTAAGAAATAGATGAGTAAAATGTATTAGATTAATAGCATTGCTTCAATTACTAAAACTAATTACTAAATTAAACTAATTTAAAAGCTACAACTATTGATAAAATTAAAATTTAATTTTAAACATAATTTGAAGGCTAAAGAAGAATGAGAATTATGCGGTGAGAATTTTTAAATCTTCTGGTAATTAATTTTTGTAATTAATATTTTATAATTAATATTTTATGTTTTGTAATTAAATTTGTAATTACTATCTTACTATCGCTACTATTATCGTAACAATAATATGGAAGTACTGTAGCAATATGGATAAAATTTCAAAGTTAAAATTTAACAATAAATGTCATCGATAGCTATCAGAGATGTCAATGGAATGCAAAAATTCTGTCGTTAGAAATTTAAATGAAAAGATGACTTCATGTCACCTTAATTGCTAATTACAATTTATCAATAAAATGACAAGGTACTAAATTAATTTGCTAAAAAAAAAATAATTTATGCAAAAATAAAATTCTAAAAGTTTATCCATCTCTTACCGCTATGTGTTTGTACATGTGCGCGCAGATTGCTTTTATCCGCAAATGCTTTTGTACATATCGGACATTGAAATGGTTTTTCACCAGACTAAAAAAAAAAAAAAAAAAGAAAAGAAATGTAAAATTGAACCATCCTTAGACATATGTTGTATTTTTAATGATTATGAATAAAATAAAATTCCTTAAAATTAAAATTTGAATTTATTAATTAAAATAAAATTTAATAATTTGAATTATACTTTAATATAAAATACATATATTTCATCAAATTTAATTATTTCATAAAGAAGAAAAGAAAAAGATGTTAAATAATTTATACAAATAACAATTGTATAATTTATTTTATCAGTTTTATAGTAACAGAAAAAATTTAATTTAATTCAAGAACTTACTATGTGTACGCATATGTCCTTGAAGAAGCCAATGCCTTGTAAATGTTTTACCACATACAGAACATTTGCAACTGTTAACATGTGATGATCGTGTAGAATTTCTGCTTTTAATATTAGCTGAACCGGATCCGGTTGTTTTTATTCGACGAGTACCACTATTTTTGGAATTACTCCTGATAGTAATACTTCTACTATTGCTACTGCTACTTGCATTGGAACCTGTTGTTGAGATGAGTGATGTGCTGCTGCATGCAGCAGATTGCAATTGTGCCTGTTGTCGATGCCATGCCATATGTATCATAAAATCGGTTGGATTCAGGTAAATGCTTTCACATGATGGGCATTGTAAGGTTGGAGATGGTGTCAAAGGTTTAAAAGCTGCAAAGTTTGATTGAATGATAATTGCAAGCAATAATTAAGTATTACAGTAATAATTGGAAATTATCATTGCTACTACTACTACTACTACTATTATGGTTTTATTATAATTATTATTTTCACTATTATTATTACTATTATTATTATTATTATTATTATTATTATTATTATTATTATTATTATTATTATTATTATTATTATTATTATTA